CTAATAACATTATTAACACATAATTCTTTATCTTTCTATCTATCTAATAACATTATTAACACATAAATAGAGAGAAGATCAATCAGATAGAATAATGTACGGAGAGACAGAAAGAGTAAACTAAGTTCAACAGTCAGAATACTGTATGGAAAGTTACACAGAAAAAGACTAACAATAAGATGTACAGAGAATTTGAAATATGATATTCTTGATAGATTTTAGAAGAAACAAAAAGAGAGAATTGATGTGTCTTTTTACACTTCTTTCTTGTTAAATTTCAGTGTTCATCTTGTGCTGGAGTCCATACTTTATCTATGACCTTCTCCAGGTTTTTGGATACTTCCCACTTAATCAAACTAACATTGCTGTCTCTACTTTCATCCAAAGCCTGGCTCCTCTAAACAGTGCTGCTAACCCTTTTATTTACTATATTTTTTCTACTCATCTATGCAGAACCCTTAGGTAAAAAAGTATACTTAACTATATCTATATTATTTTTATAGATAGTAATATATATATAATGGTTCCAATAAAATGTTCAGTTCATAATATATTTAAAGAGTTTAATTGCCAAATCTTAATTGAACATAATTTATAATAACTTACAATGATTAGAACACGCTGACTCATCAATTGGATATGCTCGCTCTTGTCGACATTTTCGGCCGTAATTCCAAGAATATTTCAAAAGATCATAATATTTAGGTTATTTTTAAATCCATGTAATAAGCTAACAATGCGAAATAATCTTCCTAGTTAAACATACAAATAATAGATAAATACATAATATATATATTAAGCATTTAACCAATAATGTTAATGTTCGCTACAACCATACGGAACTATGAACATTTTAAGTAGGTGTTATAGAGACCTGAAATAGGCGTTAGAGTGCTGTAAAAACAACGCATTTTAATTATATTAAAAACTCATAACACAGAATGATCAGCAGACGACGCAAGATTTAGGCTGTTGAACAATAGCCTAACCCTTGTCGTTAGTTTGTTTACATACACACTCACACAGATCTATAGGTATAATTGTTTTTATTATTCTATCTTATTCGATATTATTATTTTTCTTTGGCTTGCTTTATAATCTTGTTTTGGATCAATTATTCAGAACAAGCTTTAAGATAATTGGAATAAAAGGCTTAAAGCTATTAGGCTACTTCTTGTTTCTGGTTGCAGTTTGTATCTGATAACATGTAAAGAGCTTGTTCAACTAAAATAGGGTTAACGAAATGTTAATATCATAGTATTATGTATTCAAAAATAAATATATAAGTAATTTTGTTAATAATGAGGATAATAGTAATAGTTACATACCTTTATATATATACATATATTCATGATGTTAGAAAAACACGTAGGTTCAAGAAGTCTTGATAGAAATGAATAAAAACCCTATAACCAGTTTGTCCCAGAAGAAGAAGAAAGCCCCCCCCCCCAGTGGCACAGCGGTATGACTGCGGTCCTACATCGCTAAAATCCGGATTTCGATACTCCTGGTGGGCAGAGCACAGATAGCCCATTGTGCAGCTTAATTACAAATAAATACAGAATAAAGGCCCATCTTTCGAAAGCGCTCGGGTTATAGGGTTTTTTATTCATTTAAATATATGTTGTTAACGATGGTTATAATAATTTACAAGCAACATCAAAGTTAATTTTAATCCATTGATGTGACAGTTATTATTATTATTACCATCGTTCGTTGACAACATATATTTAAATGAATAAAAACCCTATAACCCGAGCGTTTTTTATTTTTTTTATAAGCTTCTACTTTCAAATTATAAACCTTTTTTTTTCAGCAACTTTTCTTGTTGTCAATGGTTTTCTCGACATAGTCGTGCCTGCTGCTCGAAGGCGAAACGGCCTGTAGAATCTGAAAGTCGAACGTCACACTACACAACCGTAAGCGAAATGTTTCTGAGGTCATCCAGATTATCAACCACTTGTCAGGAGGTACCTCTGGAAACGCAACCTTCTGTGTCAGATGCTACAACACAATTTTCAAAGAAAGTCAACAACGAAAAAAAACGAGAAGCGCCTTCGGAAACCCTCGAAGCTTCATCTGAGAAAATGCATCTGTGAATTATTAAAAAAAAATTAACGACATTAAATGTTACGGTTTTCTGTTGGTATGAACAGAAGAATCCTTAGACGAGATCTTCTTTTCATCTGGTATGAAATATTTTGAAACATACGTCATTAGGTACTAGTTGATAGGTTCTGTAGCTTGTTAGCGGAACTTGACATGGTAGAAAGTTCCAGTAAACTAGGGTTACAGATATCGAAATCCTGATCATTTTGGCTTTGCAAGTTCCACTTTTTCCACGGCGCTGTCATACGGATTCCATAAGTGAACACAACATGTCTTAGTATGTAAGCTTATGTATCGTTAAATGGCTTATTAGTCCTGTGAGTTGGAAGTTTAAACGTGTAACGCGTTAAATAACGTTTTCTTAGAGTCGAATTGAAACGATAACTTTCTAGTAATTATCATAATCAAATTAAGCATTATTTATATTTTTTTACGTATTCTAGATATCGGTAAGTAGTCAACAATTATGTTTTTCGAGTAGTGAACATGTTATACGCTTGTTTCACGAAGACTATCCGCGCTAGCTGTCCGTAATTTAGCAGTGATAGACTAGAAGGAAGGCAACTACTCTTTTGTCAACCAATAGTGGGGTTGACCGTCACTTATAACGCCCCCGCGGCTGAACAGGCATGTTTGGTGGTACGGTGATTCGAACCCTTAGATTGCGAGTTGAGCGCGTAAACGTGATGTTAAATGTAATAAAACGTTTCTGAATATAGGTCAAAATTAACAATGTTGCAAAACGATATTTGATTTATAAGAAGTAACTTTGTAATGTGAGAAAAATATTACTGAAAGATATGGATGTAGAATATTAGGGATACACGCGATCATATTGTTGTTATACATGGTAACATCGTTATAATATGTAATTATAGTGTTGTTATGTATGGTAACATCGTTATAATATGTAATTATAGTGTTGTTATGTATGGTAACATCGTTATAATATGTAATTGTAGTGTTGTTATGCATGGTAACATCGTTATAATATGTAATTATAGTGTTGTTATGCATGGTAACATCGTTATAATATGTAGTTATAGTGTTGTTATGCATGGTAACATCGTTATAATATGTAGTTATAGTGTTATTATACATGGTAACATCGTTATAATATGTAGTTATATTGTTGTTATACATGGTAACATCGTTATAATATGTAGTTATAGTGTTGTTATGCATGGTAACATCGTTATAATATGCAATTATAGTGTTATTATACATG